TCCTGTACAATAAAGCAAGCAGGTGTGGCGTGGGCGTGGTTTGTGTGTGTTGGTGTGTGTGTGTGTTGTGGTGTGTGTGGTGTGTGGTGTGTGTGTGTGTGGTGTGGTGTGTGTGTGTGACTGTGTGTGTATTGTGTGTGGTGTGTGTGTGTGTGTGTGTGTGGGTTGTGTGTGTGTGTGTGTGTGTGCGTGCGTGTGTGGCGTGCGCGTGTGTGTTGGCACGTGAGTGTGTGTGTGCGCGCGCGCGTGGTATGTGTTTTGTGCTGCGCGTGGCATGTGATGTTTGAAAAGAGAGAGGAGGGAAGAGTGTCGTGCTCAGCGTGTTAAGTGTGGCGTTGTTTGTTCCAATCCAGTCGCTGAGGCAGATTACAAAGCGGTCCTGCCATGACGGGAACACCCATTAGAAACATTGCGATTTGAAATAAAGTTTCAAGACACCCAGCGCATCTAAGGGATTTGGCAGCTTCCGGCACTTACCCCAGAACATACACACGCGCGCGCGCACACACACATACACACACACACACACACACACACACACACACACACAACACACACACACACACACACACACACACACACAACACACATCACCTCATGTGCCACACACGCGCACGCACGCGCACACACACACGCGCACGCACGCACTGAAGATCACGTGACCATTATGGGTTTCTCATAGGGTAACATTGTGGGGAGATATTGAGTGGATGTGCCAACGACGGCACCTTCAACCTTCAAAGTTGCACGTCCATATCCTAATTGAATAATTAATATATTGAATATTATTATATATAATTATAATAATTAAATTATTAATTTATAATTTTTCTTTATTATTTATTATTAATTATATATATATTTGTATTCATATAATTAATATTAAGAATTTAATTCAAATACGTGCGGATTAACACGAATTTTCAACTTAATAAAAAATCTCATCATAACAACAACGAGACACTAGGTCTATAAATTATGGGCCGCCCACGCATGTCATGGTCAGCGATAAGCACATGGATTGTGCTACTTTTGGTAGAATTGTGAAACTCTTGCACACGCGTACTACATGAGCGTCCTGAAGATATTTCTGAGTATAAGTGCCAATGAACACGCCATCTCGTTGCTGTACAGCGCCCCTGTGATGTTAACGGTATTGCGTTATAAATGCTCTTAGGGTTAGCTTATAATTCAATAATACACATCCATTTATTCACGAAGTACTCACATGATTCGTAGATATCTATATTTTTTTTATTAAAATTACTATTATTCTAAAAAGCAAATTTACTGAGTGTAGTTATCTTTAAGTTTGTAATAAAAATTAAGGTAACTTGAAACAATGAAATAGTTAAAAATAATAAAAACTTACAAAACCTATAAATGAACCGATATGTCAAAAATCCTTTCGTTACTGCAGTAATGTTAAAACATAGTGGATTCGCCTACTAAAAAGGAATATTTTGACATAAGCAATGCTCATCAGACTGGATAAATTTTTATTATATATCGGTGCCATTATTAATTACAGGGAAAGAAATTTATCATTTTTTTTAAGAAACCGAAATTTTATTGCTTCAACATTATTTATTACAAACTTCAAGATAACCAAACTCAATAAATTGTTTCTATAATATTAGTAAGATATCTACAAATCTATGAGCTACTTCTTGAATAATGGATGATTATTCTTGAAATTATACGCCAAAACCCAAAGAATAGTGTAACAAAAATACCCCGTTAAACGAAAATCCCGCCAAGAGCGCTGTACGCCCCCAGGTTTACGCTGTTAAAGTTGGCACTTAATCAGAAAATATCTTCAGGAACTATGTAATTATGCGTGTCAAAAGTTTCACAAATTCTAAGCAAAAGAGCACAATGTGCTGACTTATGTATATGATGTATATAGTTTAATCTACGGAACAATGTGTTTTTGAAATAATCGATTTCTATGTTAAGGTCGCCTCCCACTAATGTATTACAGATTTAAAAATGTCATGCAAAGTTAATGCTTTCTCGTTCACGGATAATGTGCTGCCATCGGCTAATTGTCGTAATGTGCTGCCATCTACTTTGTATAAAGTTGGAAATCACTTACTCAATTTTTGATGTCAAGCGTTAGAATTTATCAGTTTACATAAGTGGGCATGTGCTGCGAGCGGTAACGAAATGCAGGTCATGATAAACGTTCGTAATAAATATGCCGGCTTAATGATTATGACGTATCTGGCTATTCGCGTTTATCAGTAATGGCCCCTCAACGTTTCATCACATCTAGCTCCGCGCACCGCGAGCAATCAGAGTAGTAATAACTTATAATTATAACGAACAATTGTATACAATCCATCATCTTGTTATAAGACTGGTCGAGAGCCCCCGCCCTTAATTTCGGCACCGCGTCCGTCGCGCCGCCCCACGCATTTTCAAGGTATGTAACGGATAACGCAGTAGTGGCGGGCCATAAATATCTAATCTAATATAAAGAATTTTCGTCAAAAACACAATCTCGTATATAAAACAATAAACTGTGATCAAATTTAAGTAGTTTATATTTCAAGTAATTATAGAGACTAGACGAACCATGACGACACCGATCAACACGTCAGGGCGGGGGGGGGAATAAGGAAATGGGGAGAGGGAGATGGGGGAGGGGAGGGGAGAGGAGGAAATGGAGAGGAGAGGAGAAGAGACGAGAGAAAAAGAAGGGATGAGAAAGAAAGAGTAAAGCTAGATAGTACGTAGAAGGGTCGTAGTCTGGTCAACATTATAGAAATGAATTATCCCAGATAACTTCGCAAAATTGTTTGAGTTAAATTTGTCGATACAGAACGAAGAAGCGTGTACTTAAAATAGCGAAAATGTTGTTTATTTATCAATATGTAGACACGACATTTTCCACTGCTGAACAGTATTAAGAAACATACAGGTGACATAAATTCCTAATGATAATTACTATTTATAATTGCTTAATTCGAGCCCCTTTATTCACCGAATATTTTATTATCATCGACTCTTATAGACTTCTGTCGTCTGGCTGTCCCGTCAATCACGGTCTGTACGTACAAGTACAGATATACGCTACACTTTTAGCACAGCAACTCTCTAATGAATATAAACATGTACCGCCGAAACGAATTTGATTTCCTGCAACCTACATTTGATTAAAGGAATTTCTCGACCATGCTAAATACGTAACATGACTATATATATAGCATGAACATAACACGTAATCTCTCTTAGATATACAGTATTATGATATTGTACATACGAAAATAAACTCCGGGCGATTTAATTGGCAATTAACAAACGTCCGATCATTGGGCAAATCGTTTGCTCATGCGCCCTGCTATCCGTTCACTATGTTTATCGTTTGTAAAGCTGTCCGCATGCTTTCTTTACGTAAACGTTTAATCAGAAGTGAATAAAACAAATGGTATTTATCACTCGCTGATTTAATGAATAAGAAATCCATATATCGTAGCGTAAAGTAGACATTATGTATAGTCATTCCCCGCGGGCCTTCACTAATCGTCCGCTCGCAGCTGCACTTAACCGAGAGCGCCGTCTTGTATTCAAATCAACAATCTAGCCGATTGAAATAGTAAGCGGTAAAAAATAACTAACATTTTTAGGCATTTCGTTCGTTCAGTCACGCGAATCTAATATCTTTATACACGAAGATAACGAAACCATGTCGTGATCGTAATTGCTGTCCCGATAACGATTATCGAGCTTGAGACATACCTGCCGACATCACAAGAGTGTCGATGCGAAGTGTGAACGGGTTAGTAAGGAAGCACTGAGGTTCGTTGTCAAAAGCGTCATAAATAAATTACGACTATCATAAGTCTAAAACGTCATAACCGTCTGCACGACACTTCACTTGAAAGATAAGACGATGATGTCATAGCTATTTCTGATGTTTTAACAGTGGCCCCTTGTTTTGACACGCGACGTTAGTCTATTATATTCCCATCATCTAGCCGGACAAATGTTCCTGCATCAAGGTCATTCAAATCGCTTAGCCACATTCATATAATTACATTTCATAAATCCATTCATTCGCGTCATTCAATTATCAATAAATGTCCAGACCGCGTACTATTGTGTCGTTAGTATTAGGATCACGCACGCAAGATTTACACCCTCCCTTCCTTTTAAATCGGACGTGGGTGGGCAGTCGTTGAACATTATTCTGCGCTTTTGCCCCCCATGTGTGGGCAGGCCATCGCAGACACAAGAACGTCTCCATATTTACATACACGCCAGACAATCAAGTACGGCGCGTCTTCACGTTCTCCGGGAGGAACGGATCACCGACACAGGAAAGCGGCAACGCATACGTAATATATAATTATATATATAGTATATAAATATATATATATATATATATATATATATATATTACTGGACGCGCTAGTGGTACCATTTCCAAACGCCCTGCCAGTTTGCACCGGGAGCACCCACCGGTCACTCTATCGCTGTCTATAGCAGACGATATCCCGTCTATTCCCGCGCGGACAGTTGGTCCTCTGCCTTCCACCGCACTCGTGGCCGTTAAATTCAGCAATGTTCCGAGGTAATTGCCGCGGCAGACGTGATTGCAATCTGAGGCTCGCGTTGTTTGGTCGTGACAGCCACCGCTGCACGACATCACGGATGAAAGCTATCGACGATTTGCTCAGGTCGTCCTACTACTATTACTGGCTGACTGCCATCTTGATTTCGCTATGGGTCCTTCAAAGGAGCGTGTCTGACTGCAGAAGGAGCGCGTGATCGAAGGGGCCTGGGGAGTAATATTGAAACTGTAGGCTGCAGCCGCGCCCGTGCTGGTGTTGTGAAAGTTCGTTAAATGAACGTTGCGGAACGCATGATAGTGTGCGTGACACGGATACACACACACATAAGATATATACATATAATATAATATAATATATATATATAATATATATATATATATATATATATATATAATATAAATATATATACACACATATATATATCTATGCATATACTCATATATATATAAGCTGATTCATTATTATATGCCATTACGGCAAGCTAAAATTGCAACGATTTGTGTCGATTTATAGACTGCATCCTCTCGGTTGGCAAACTGAGCAAATCATCGGATCATCTCTTCACTACTAGCGATAGGCGGCGGTCGTCCCCGGTGTAAACTGCAGCGGCTTCAGGTAGTATTCGTTCGATACATCGGCAACCTTCTCTCTGATCAGCTGATGGTGCCGCCATCTGGCGAACATGAGCGCCACCGTGACGAAGGTTGAGATGAGCAGCAGGGTCATGATGGAGAAGGACAAGACGAGAACCATCGTGTCCACGCAGTCGTCGCCGTGTTTCACGTAGCGATTATTGAATCGATCTGCAAACATCCAAAACAACCACCGGGAGTGATTTAAACTTGCATACAGCATAGAGTAGTTGCTTAAATGGGGGCACGGGTGTCGTACACCTGTGGTATAAACTCGGCTCGAGTAACTTGCTTCTTTCGCGAAATATGGTGCGTTATAGAACAGGATCCCTTTTGTTCTAAGCTGCTTCTTCTAACGTATGATAACTATTTTCTCACGAGAGGGGTAATGATTATAGCTATAGAAGGCAGCGTTTACTGAAAGACCACTGTCATTACGCCAGGCTATGCTACTTCACAGTTATAAAAAATAACATTTTATGTCTCACATAGGCCTATGTAGTATATAATCAGAAGGTGTAATGATGAAAATTGTTAAGAGTACGTCAATAATACGGCTCACTGAGAGGGTGGTCGTATTCTTAATCATGTTATTGCGCGGAATTGTTTAAACGTGTAAGCGTTGTTATATCAACATAATCGCTAAATATCTGCCGATTTTCTGGGCGATAATGTTTATTCACATGTCTTTTCCAACGCCATCTTTAAGGTTATCTAAAACGCTACTTATCATCACCACGTTATTGCTCTAAATATCTCTAAGCCTCTGTTCGCTTCTGCATGCCACTTACGAAGGAATTCGTTAGCTCCCGACTCTCCGGAGAGATAGATCCGGATGCCTTTGTAGACGTTGGTAGTCTGAGCTAGGTTCGATAGCGTCTGCTTGAATGGCTTCTCCTGCGTATGTTCGGTAGCCTCTTCCTCGCTCTCGTCCTCCTCCACGTCCAGCGAGCGTTTACCGCGTCTGCCACTAGAGGGGCATTGCTTCTGCGATAAACAAATGAACGTCGTTTTTACACAGACGCATATGGTTGGCCACAGTGGACAAAAATCAAGAATACATGACTGCATATTAATGGTCACCATAAATCATATTTATGGTCACCATAAATCGACCAATGGGAAGCGAGGAATATATGCCCGCATATAATCCAAGCCAATCAAATCAAAGGAATTATGTCCACCATAAATAACTTCCGTCCCCGTTTTGACTACTTCCGTCCAAAAAATCAAAGGAATTATGTCCACCATAAATAACTTCCGTCCCCGTTTTTCCCCCAGTAACCCCTCTACCAACTCCCACACCCACCCAACCGATGCAAGAAGTCGAATCCGGATTTCTCCGGATTTCCGAGGAGAGTGCGCTTCCTGTATATTCCGATTTCCGGAACTGCGCACTCGCGTGCGTCGGTCATCATCGGCCATCATCGGTCATCATCGGGGAGTCGCCACTTAAGTACTACGATTGCATCTGTCAACACGTACATGCGCAATGGACATCTATTATCGCGATTAGTCGATGCGTCTTGTAGAGGTTAGCTGCTGCCCTGACACACGTAGTAATCTTACACGGGCGGAGACAGAGTTGGTCATCCTCTCACCCCAGCATAGCATGCGGTACACTGCAGCAAATACAGCGGCTCTATCTAATGCAGTAATATGAAATGGCAATGCTGTCGTCAGTTCTTAAATAACAGTGATAATGCTTCGATCTTGCGAAAGAAAGTATCAGTCAATGTTTGAATATATGGTAAAAACGTTCACTTATTTACTCACTTATTCATTCACTCACTCACTCATTCATTCATTTACTCACTTACTCGCATACTCACTCACTCAATCAATCAATCAATCAATCAATCAATCAATCAATCAATCAATCACTCACTCACTCACTCACTCACTCACTCACTCACTCACTCACTCACTCACTCACTCACTCACTCACTCACTCAATCAATCAATCAATCACTCACTCACTCACTCACTCACTCACTCACTCACTCACTCACTCACTCACTCACTCACTCACTCACTCACTCACTCACTCACACACTCACACACTCACTCACTCACTCACACAGATTCTAGCATTAGATTACACTTTTCTCACCATGGTTTTTTTCACACGGAGATCTGAACTAGTGGAACGTTGCTCATCTATGGATACATTAGGAATGAATTCCCTTTAATAATAGAGGCCTCAAATCAATGAAATGCAATATAGCGCGTTTGTAGTTATGCTTGTCTTCATAGTATACGGCGGCGAATACTCACGGCTTCACAGTTGTCCTTGCAGATGTTCACGTTGCATTCGAAATAGACATTCTCCTTGTCCGGGAATTTGAAGCTCTTAAAGATGGCGTACACGTAGGTGACGCCATTTCCGTTGTACTGCGGATTATTGTTGAACTTCCCGATCAGTTTCCGATTAATAGGACATCTGCGGAGAGAGAAAGAGAAGTCAGCATAACGAGCGAATCGACGCGTGATGGTGGTCACCGTTGCTTGTGATCTAGGTTTACGATTACCTTTAGATGGTAAGTTGGTATTGGCATGAAGCAATGCATTGGTTCTGCTATACATTGCATTACTGCGCTTCACATTGCGGAAGAGAGCATCTTTTCATATTATAAATACAGATACATGTTAACAGTTAAAATTGAACTTGTATGAAATTGAATGTAGATATTCTTGACATCAATCACTAATGACTCGGGCATATTATATATAAATATATATATATATATATATATATATATATATATATATATATATATATGTATGCGCGTGTGCGCGTGCGTGTGCATGAGGTTGTGTGTGTGCGCGTGCATGCTTGCGTTTTTGTCTGCGCGCGTGTGTATTTAGCCGATAACTAAAAGCAACTGGGTCAGCTACAAAGTATATCCATTGCCTTGACGACATAACGTGACGGACAGTGCCGATGGGATACCCGTGAAGCAAACATTTGCGCTAGTTTGTCTGTCGCCTCGGCTGTTATTTTCGACATCCACCTACCCGTTATTATCTATGAGATCCACTCTTCCTATCTCGGTGCCGCTGTGAGCATAGCAATCAGTCACCCATATTCCCCAGTCATCTGCAATGAGCACATTTATATAAAGAATTACGGTCGAATAAATTTGCAGTAGGTCTGGCGTTGTTATTAAAATACTACGATCACGTGACGATACATTACATCCACACAATGAATGTACACCCATAATATACCAATAAATATGCGTTCAAGGCGCGCCCAAAAATATAAACACATAATCAATTGACTTGCATTTATTAACTAATCAAATTTCTGCGTCTCTGCGTTTCCAACAATTTTGTTAGCCCTAGGCATAAAAATGTATTAGCGTTTGACACACGTTTGACTGAGCTAACTGCCACCGGGTGTCGTGAACCGGTTACGTAGGTGGCCTTTCTAAATACACATATAAAACTATAAAATACGCTTTGGGATTACAAACAACTACACTTGATCTCCGATAGAGATCAGCGGTTGTCAATCAACTAATAACAGTCATCATTGTCATTGTTCTACCCGCCAGCGGTGGCATCGTCACCTGTCATATAGTTATCGATCTTTCATATAATCAAGAGTAAAGTAATAGGAATATACTATTAGGCGCGTTCACACTGGCGCGAATAAGCGGGATGCAAATCCCGGTTTTTGCATCGCGATCGAAATACCGAGATTATTACAAGTGTGAACGCAATAATACCCACTAATAATCGCGATCAGCATCGCGCTCCAAATCGCACTTTTGACTGCGATTATTTGGAATTAGCGCGATTATTTGCGTGTGTGAACGCTCGCTTTGGAATTAGCGCGATTATTTGCGTGTGTGAACGCTCGCTTTGGAATTAGCGCGATTATTTGCGTGTGTGAACGCTCGCGCAAATAATCCCGGTATTTTAGCGCGATTATTTGCGTGTGTGAACGCTCGCGCAAATAATCCCGGTATTTTCTATCCCATCATTCCAAGCGAGAGAGCAGTGAGCATGCGCAGTGAGTATCATTCCGGCAGTGAGCATGCGCAGTTCTATTAATAGAATTATCCCGCTCGGCGATTAGCGCAATTATTCGCCTGTGTGAACAACGACACAATTATCTCGGTATTTCATCGCGATTAGAATCGCGGTTTTTCTTGTGTGTGAACGCGCCTAATATCTCACTATATTATTACACTGTATTTATATGTATATACATATTACGTTAATATTACGTTATTGTTATTGTTACGATATTTATCTTTCCCTATTATATTACCCATCGTATAGCGGTATTACGAGGTCTATAGCGAGTACGTGAAAGGAAAGTCTGATAGGGAGTGTTGACCTTTATCTGGCGACATGTGTTGTATTACACCACCCAAGTTCAGTAGCATGGAACGCACCTGTGTTATCGTAGTAAATGACGATGGAAGCCAAATTGCCCACGAGCAGCGTGTTGGTGGGTGTTGACCGCGGGTCCCTGCCATCTATAACCTTTAGATAGATGTCTGGCATTGTAAGGGCGTCGACAGGTGGCAGTGTTGTCCCGCGCACCATCCTACAACAACAAGCGCACTGTTAGGCTGTGGAAACCTAATTTGTCCTAGTTCAAATAGAAATAAACAGCAGACGAACGTATGTATCCATGCGATTTTACTCCAAACTACATTTTATAAGCTATGCACCAACTAACTAGCTAAGTAATTAAGTAACTAACTAAACAAACAAATAAATAAATAAATAAATAAATAAATAAATAAGTAAATAACGAATTCACGGACTAACTAACCAACTAACTTACTAACTAACTAACTACTCCCTACTAACTGACTATAACCGCGGATGAGTGGAAGCAGGAGCATCGATAGAAATATCAGAAGAGCGACGGGATGGGATGTTGCACCGACTTACGGAACTGTGATACCGGCCGACACACGCTTGTTCGCGGATCCGGTTCCGGTTGTGCAGCGGACCGTGTAGGCTCTGTCGGTTGACCACAACACGTTGAACACTCGATCGTTCATCACTATGACCGTGTTCTCGAACACCCCACTGGGTCTATCGGTGGCGAACGACTGCAAGAGAAGCAAGAAGCCAAGCTGTCAGGGTACGAGTTATTCCATATGTATTTTCATCTTGCTGATATGTGCATGACGCCTAAGGATCACAATGTAATTGAGCGTTTGTCACAGTAGTTTGCGTATTTATCCGTGGTAATTGTTCGCCCGCAAATTGTTAGTGTACACATTGTTTGTAAAGTTTTGCATTGGTAATTACTTAAATAAAAATATCAAATATAATCCTGCATCGTAATCTTATATGCTAACGGACTACGTTTTAAGACGTCGCGCGTCGAGCACATCGCGTATTCAGATCGCACGCGTGTGAACATGTCTCATACGCGATTCCGAACTATAGTTCCAATCGGACGCGATGGAGGGCCTCAAGGATAAAAGGGCAGAGATTTATTTACTTATTTATTAAACAGTTAGAAATAATTTCTCGTTAAATTCCTGAGTTGCTTACAATCTGTTGATGCCGAGACAATGCCGTTCAATTAATTGACCGATGTGTTCGAGCGAGATAACGACACCACGTTAAAAATTGTTGCTAGACGAGTCAAGCTGAACCAGTTTACACATGGTTTTAACACGCGCACCCAAGCAATGACTTTTAGAACATCCTATCACAACGCCGACCGGCTCAGCTTCCTGTTAATCACTTCATGGGAATGTGTCAATTGAACCAAAATGGCGGTACTCACGTCTCCCTCCACTGTGCCGCATCCGTCAAGGGGAATCTCGATAACTGGATCAGTGAGACTCTCTACTGCTCGATTGCACACGGAGTTTTTGAAGTAGCCCTTCGGGTAGACGGAGCCGGAGAACGGTTTGTTGAAGTGCAGGTTGATGACCATCACCTTCCGCTGCGTGTCGCAGTGTACGTTCACGTCTAGAGTGAAGCAGCGCATGAGATTAGTCGTCCGATATTGCTTTGCGTGTATGATGAAGCTCTATACTTACGCTAGGCACGTGTAGATATAGACACGTAACATACGTAATGAAATCATTTGTGTGTGGTCTCAGGTACGCTGACATTTCGCGGACACAGAAAATTCATCGAGGTCAACGCATACGTCCTTCTATCACACACACATATATATATCTATGCATATACTCATATTGTGTGTGTGTGTGTGTGTGTGTGTGTGTGTATGTGTGTGTGTGTGTGTGTGTGTGTGTGTGTGTACAGAGAACAACAAGGAAATGCCGTAACCTATAGACGACGCGCACGAACCAATAACGCATTCAGGAAAATTCAAAGATCGGCGCATGCACGTCATTTACCGCGTGGTGAGCCGCGGCAAACCTAACACGATTACTCGTGAAGGAAAATTGAAATTATTATTACCGGATAGAAATTCGAGAAAAAGAATTCCTCGTTCGTGTGTGCGATCAGTGATTTTACCTTTGTGAATATTTTCATTGTTAGAGAATTTCATTATTCTGCAAATTAAAACAACTTGTTCAAAGGTTTATACAGAAATGCTACATAATTATATGATTCTATGATTATTGCTAGTATATACAAAATAGTAATATGTAGATAGAAATTGGGCAGACAGTCACAAGCCATTTTTCTTATGCCTACTTTCGAATTACAAGTCATTTATGGATTAAATATCCTATAAATTAAAGCACCATTTTTAATTAAGTTACAATTAAGTCTTTATAAGAATTTGCGTATTAATTAACTAGTTAACGTTGTACGTTTCTTATTTCATCTGCACATATTTGAGCTCTTAATACAAGCAGCCGCCATATTGTATTTTATTAACATTTATAGAATGAATATTCCGTAGAAGGAACAAGAATATTGTTATTCTAATGAGATATTCGTCATTCTCCAACTATCCCCTAGAACTAAAATACACTTTACAGATATTCGTCGACAGAGGTCAATAAAAGTTCGTATTTATTGCTAATCTGTATTCAGTTATAGGATACGATGGGGCTATTGACATTACAGTGAATACAACCTGTTCATATGCCAAGCTTCTCACTGTCACGGTGGTGCGTAATTAGATCGCATGCTTGTATTTTGGAGATAGAAAACCCGTTTATTATCTGTTATACTCATCCGCTAACATTAATCACCTGAAGTTTTTATTGAGGTTTGACATTCAATATACATGACGCATATTGAAAACTTGAAAGAGCGTGCGAGTTACAATATTTCCACATAGAATGTAGCATACAATACCGGCTGTACAATATTTCCACATAGAATGTAGCATACAATACCGTCGTTACTTACCACGCAATCTATCATCGCTGAGTATCACGCTCTGTCCCGTGATAACCGCCGGAATGTCGGGTACACGCCTGGCCACAGGTCTCTCCGTATACGGCTTAGCGGTCGTCCGAACAATCGTGTTGAAGTCTCTACCAGGTGTCTGTACCGGAGCGAACGTTACATGCGCCGGCTTAAACGTTCTCTGCTGATAGCGTTTGATATCTTGTTCGCTAAAGCGCACCCCAATGTTAGTGCCGACGCTTCCTTCCGCTACGCTATCTCCGGCAACAGTACCGCCGGCCGCGATCGGTCTTCGATTTCTACCTCGCCCCGTCCATGCATTAACCTGTGATAGGTCGTCTGAGCCCGTCGTATCGTAGCTAACGACTGAGTTGCTGATTATTCGACCCTGGCGTCTGTCTTCTGCCCTACGCAGGTCGTCGAAGTTTCTACGAGTGTCCGTACTACCACCGCGATTTACTGTTTGTGATCTGCCTTGGTAGTCCACTATCCCTTCTTCTCTGCCTGAACCTGCTCTATTACCTCGACTTGTGGTTTGTGACCTGTCCTGGTAGTCTACTTGCCCGTCTCCCCGTCCAACAACAAACGGAGAATCAACCCGACCAACTATAGAGTCAATGCCGGCATCTGCCCTGCTTCCTCGGCTTGTAGCCCGTGACCTGCCTTGGTAGTCCACCTGCCCTTCTCTTCGCCCAGCAACAAAATCAGAGTCATTCTGGACATCTATAAAGGCGGCTCCTATACCTGCCCTGCTACCGCGGCTTGTAGCGCGTGACCTACCTTGGTAGTCCACTATCCCTTTTCCTCTGCCTGAACCTGCTCTATTACCGCGACTTGTGGTTTGTGACCTGTCCTGGTAGTCCACTTGACCGTCTCCTTGTCCAACAACAAGCGGAGAATCAACCCGATCAACTATAAAGTCAAAGCCGGCATCTGCCCTGCTTCCTCGGCTTGTAGCGCGTGACCTGCCTTGGTAGTCCACTTGCCCTTCTCTTCGCCCAGCAACAAAATCAGAAGCATTCTGGCCATTTGTAAAGGCGGCTTGCAAACACGCAATGTCTTTCCTGATAATATAGAGAAAATATTGCACTCTCATGAAAATGCCTTCTAGTAGTTGTTGTCAATTAATTGGTATTGATTCTTATTCGTGCGATTGCAACAATAAAACTGATGTGTTTTTCCATTGTACTATTGTTTCAAAATAAACCAAAAAATGTTTTCTCTTGATGCTACGATTGTAATGCATTTATGCATAATCCCACGATAAAAATTAATATATTAATTCCAAGTATTTTTAACGATTAGCAGTCATTTCTTAGTATTAATCAAACAACACTGCTCTTCTTGTGTCTGAGAGACCCCGCCATGTTTATTTCTCGTGCTGTAGCTTTTCTTCTCTGTTCTCTGTGCGAGCGATATCATGATGAACGCTCAGCTAAACAGGCGTATAGACATGGGTTGTTGAATAATGCTACCAACAAGCGGTTCATACATGTAACGTTGCTGAGAAACCTTTTATCTAACGTAAGATATTTCGAATATTAATACCATATATGGCTTCCTATCATATAAAGTCGCGTTGCAGTCACACATTTATGTAAAAATTCCTAATACGGTCAATCGGCATTTAAAGCTTTAATTAATAAGTAATTCTCCGCGGAAACGATGCAGAGTTACGCGAGTTGTACAGCATATCAGCGCCACCTGTCGGCACAGATAATTAATATACTAGCTATGACTACACGGCACTTATAGCCATGGATAGATGTGATATATATCTGAATCTATGAATCCGCATTGCAGCTATTTCAACCGGTAATGCCTATCACCAACACGTCAACACGATTAGACCCCAACGAGTTTTAATGTCTTTTTCACCAGGTACGAAAAATACGTCATCTGCTTGGCGTCACGTGACGTATCAGAGAAAGCACGTGATCATCGCCCAGCATCCCGTGACCATCTCATGAATGACGTCATCACACCAGGGAACGATGTGCAAACTACGAATGGTAGAGAGCAAATATTGGAGTGATTGTTATTTTTCCCCCACGAATCACCTGAAAATATATCCTAAGATGAAACGGGAACGGAAATTTTCAATTTCCCAGGCAAAAAGTCGTTTCCTGGATCCCGAAAATCACAATTTCGGGTGATCTTCCCGGCTCACTTCTATTTCGGAACCGCGAAAAATATATTTGATATTTTCCAATTCCCAGATAATTAAAGTGATTCAATCTCGCGTCTTGAAAATATCCGTTCCCCCGTTTTTAGATCTAAACTTGCAATAGATGCGAGCGAACAAACATAAAGACACTGGTCGGGTTAGGGTGCTGTTTGGCTCAAAAGACTATGATGTTTTTAGTTTAGATACATCATCGATTATTTGTGACAGAAATGCGGTGGTTTTAACGCGGATGGTAAGACCGTAAAGATTGTGACGTAATCGATAATGATTCTGTGCTGCCGCCTACTGGGAGAAATGTTAACTACCTGTTTTCGGGCGGTTCGATCCCCAACCATTGATTTGTTGCTAGAGACGCTTGTATAAATGATTATTCTGAATGTGACAGATAGCTTACAAGACAGGTTCAGTGGTGTTTACTACTGTCTATACCTGCCCTGCTACCGCGGCTTGTAGCGCGTGACCTGCCTTGGTAGTCCACCTGCCCTTTTCTTCGCCCAGCAACAAAATCAGAGTCATTCTGGACATCTATAAAGGCGGCTCCTATACCTGCCCTGCTACCGCGGCTTGTAGCGCGAGACCTGTCTTCACTGCCCGACAGCCTTGTCCTTTGCCTATCATCCTGGCCAGCATCAAGCTGACTAGCACGCTCGCGTGTCTGGAAGCTGCTGCCAAACCCTGGTATCTGATAGTGGACCGGCTGCCTATCGCCGCCCCGAGAACTGACGCCGATCCTCGTTCCGGCGCCGCCTATGCGATGCTGCTGAGAGGCTGTCGTCTTCCACGGAAAAATGAAGCCATCGTCTACTGATGACGATGATCTTCCGGATGACGAAGCGAATCCGGTTCTAAACGTCGACGAGCCGCGACTCAGGTCTACCTGGCCGCCACGCTCACCCGCTGAACCCGTGATGCCTCTGACCTGTCCATTGAAGGCGCGTCCGTACTGCGTTAACTCCGAGTCTTGAGCAGCTGCGTTGCCCACGCCTCCGTACGTCGTCAGGCCTCCCTGCGTCCTCGTACCGGCATCTTGCTGCTGGCTAGCGAAAGGATTGTAAAGAGTCGCTCTGTCGATGAATTCAGAGCCTGGCCCATTACCGATGTCCAGCCTCACACGGTTTTGACTCGTCTCTCGGGATCTACCCCGCGATACGTGCGACTGTTTCGGATCTTGTTCTCCTGCTCTGCTCGTGGATCCGCCTCGGGTTCCGCTTCTCGCGGAAGATCCGGCGGCGTTCTTATACGGATTGAATATTCCGTTCGACTGAAACGAACCGGTTTGTAAGTTGCCCTGCTCTGACGAGACGCTGACGGCGGCTCGTCGCTCTTCGGGGAGGATGCCGCCCGCGTCCGATATGCCGACACCTAACCCGGCGACTCCGCGACGACGCTGCCCGAAAAGATTGCCGTTGACTTGATTCGCCGCGAAGTCCTGCCGCCCTCCCAGTGTGGAGACACCAGAGAATGTTGACTGCTGTTGCTCTCTGATGGGCGCGCCGACGTTGGCGAATATGCCGTAGTTGCCGACGATTGCAGTGCTGGGTTTCTCCTGCACGGAGACGCCGATGTTCGGCACCTGTCCGGCGCTCCCGGTGAGGGTTGAAGCGCCAAAGTTGTTCGTCGCAAAGCTGGTTTGCTGGCTACCGAAGCCGCCGAAGTTGTTCGGCGTGAAGCTCGTTTGCCGACTATTGAAACCGCCGAAACGGTTCTGCCTTAACCCACTAGCGCCGAATGCGTTCTGCCGAGAAAACGTTTGCTGTCGATTGCCCTGCTGTCCTGCTCTCAACTCCTCGCGCGGATACAGCGACACAGGATCAATCCCGACTTGGAACTGATTATTTTCCGCCTGCTGGCGTCTGATCAAAGCTCCATTGTTTTCGTACGGATACAACGAAATCGGATCGATTCCGACTGTATTCCGACCGACGAGTTGTATGGGTGGTTCACGTGAGAACGCCGGTCGAGAAAACGGACCCGCGTTTCCGCCTCCAAATTGAGTGTCTCCAAGTGTAGCGCTGTCACCGGTGAGAAATGGGTTTATGCTCTGTTCACCGACCCCGTATTGCGTACTTGCATATTGGCCCGGTGTGCCTGCGTCGACGTATGCGGGTTGGTTTTGTATTCCGGCTCCATACTGGTTCTGTGCATCGATGCCATACTGTTGCGGCTCTACTCTGCCACCTGTTTGTTGCCCACCAATCCCGACACCTTGTTGACCCGGTGAATCGGCCCAGTAAGTATCTCTCCCGACCAATTCGCGTTGGTCAAGACCTAACCTGCTAAACTGCTGACCACGTCCGAACGGAACTCGTGCGGCGTTCCGACCTTGCCCGTCATATTGCGCGCGTCCAGCGAGCTGGTCTTGCGTGCCGTACTGACCCCCGTACTGCCCACGATTATCAATTTCATACTGACCATCACCGGCATTGCCGTACTGGCGACGACCTACATTGCCATACAGACCTCTGCCGCTAGCGATATACTGATTAGTGTCCGCTAGTCCGGCCCTGCCTTCTGTAGCACCGCTCTTCTGTTTTCGATTTGTCGCCGTGAATGGTAAGCCGTAGCTTGTGTCCGATGATGTGGGTATACCAAAGCTGCTTCCGAGTGGGGCTGTGTCAGGTACCACCGACTGCTGCCCCGCGGACGCCACTCCGTAAGTAGAGTCTAGCGGACGGGACTGGCCGGCGAAGTTACCATCCGCCACTGCGAATTGCTGCTGTACTCCAGTGTATTGCTGCTGCTGCTGCTGTTGCTGTTGTTGTTGCTGCTGCTGCTGCTGTTGTTGTTTCTGCTGCTGTTGTTGCTGCGGTGTTGTTTCGTAATTCGACCCGAGAAGGCCTCCCGTACTCTGACTATCCTGCGTGATGTCAGACGGACTGGCACTGACCGGAAATGCTCGACCGGGATATTGTGGATTATCCGGTCGTACGAATTTCCCGTGTTGGCTGACGAATTTTCTGTCCGAATACGGATTATAGATGCTTCCCTCAAGGTATCCTACCCCGTCTTGGCTGGGCTCCCGAGTTCCTGGAGATTTGCGTGTGGTTGTGCCGGAGACCTGACCCGCGTATATCTGGTTTTGGGGGCCGGGGAACGCATCAGCAGCTAATGGCTGGCTGCCAAAAGCCTGAGCAGGCTGGTCAGCTGTGGAGGGGAACTCGCCGAAAGTAATTCCGTGGTTATCTGTAGTTGCTCCTCGAACTCCAAACGACGTAGTAAATGGCTTACCCGAGCCTACTAACGAGCCCGACCCGTCAAACGACAGCGCAGAGCTGTCACCGATCGTCTTGCTGCCGCCAATCACCTGTCTGTCGACACTCACGGACGTCGTCTGTGCCGACCCAGGATTCAATCCACCAAACAAGATACTCAGCGGTGCATCCTGCGTAACCACGGCCTGCTTCGGCCGCGTGGCGGCGCCACCGACCACCTGTCGGTCGACGGACGACGTCGCAGCGTCACCGGCGTTAGCTCTGCCGACCGCGCCGCTTCGTCGAACGTTCAGCATGAAGTTTGTGGCCCCCGACCGAGCGGTGCTGCCCCCACCCACACTGCCCACATCGACGCCCGACAGGAATCCGAGGGTGTCCAGGTCCAGGGTTCCGAGGTCAACCGCCACGGCGCTACCCTGCACGACGGGCGACACTGTGCCCTGTACGACGCGGAAGCCAGACTGCTCCGGTGCGTCCGTGAAGTCATGCGCTTGCTGCGGCAGCGTGTAGTCGGCAGCTGGCTCGGGCTGCGCCTCCTCGCGCTGATAGTACTGGATTTTCGGATCCGGAGTTCCCTCGCCCATGTTCTCCCCGGATTTCATGGCACTGGTGCAGGCCACCTGCAAATGAGAGCGAATTTTGTCAGGCTGAAGTTGTTTGAGTTTCTCACTAGATGGCAGTAGGTGTCAAAAGGTCTTGCGGCATACTAGTATAAAATCAAGAGCGAATAAAACATGTATTATTTATTAGCTCGTGATAAAATATTTATATCACTGAGTAATAAAAGTGAGCAGGTTACAGAAAGGGGAATCTCGCTGCCATGACGTCGTATTGCATTGATGCAAGGATGGCCCTTAAATTCGACCGAAGTCACATAGACGAGTATACATACAATTGACGGTTCACTGCCACATTCACATATATTGCTGTGCCGGGGACTTTTTACGATTGAAGTGATTATTACGCTCGCGCGCGTGTGGTGTGCGTGTGGCCTAAACGCACCACGGAAGTAGAGGGATCATCTTTCAACCATAATGTGTTTCTAATCTTTACATTAAGGTCTCTGGCACAGCAGTGTCATTCCTACGTTTTATACGTTACGTCCGCGCCACTTCCCCGGTCGTTTGCGGGTAAAAAATGAAGCTAATCCGCTGGAATGCGGCAGACGAAAACCGTGACTTAGATGATCGTATGTGTGCTTAACCATATGCGTAGGGTTGTGTGGATGTGTGCCTGTGTGTGTGTGCGTGTGCGTGCGTGCGTGCGTGCGTGCGTGCGTGCGCGCGCGTGTGTGTGTGTGTGCGCGTGCGCGTGCGCGTGCGCGCGTGATAGTGTGTTTATGTATGCGCGTGAGAGTATCTGTATGAGAGTGCGTGCTAATGCGTTCACGTGTGCGTGCACGTACGCGTGTGCATGCTTGTGCGCGTATGTGTGCACGTGTGCGTTCATGCGTGTGCGCGCGTGCGTGCGTGCGTGCGTGCGCAGGTGTGTATGTATAGGTACATACGTGCGTGTCTGTACATGCGGAAGAGAATGTTGGCCCACGCATGATTGCTCGCCGGGTACTTTCAACCCCGCCACTACCACGTCTAGACAAGTCCCGGCTGTGCAGTTACAGTATCAATGCAATAACCGCGACGATGACAAAGACCTGCGGATAATTTACTCGCGAAAATCTCCCTGGTTCGTTGTGTTAACAAGGGCACGGGTGGTTTCAGCTACGTACGCGTGAGTTATTCCGAAGTACAATTGCTGTTTACCGAGCTTAAATATGCGGTTGATTTGTTTATCATAGTTTGAATAAAACTAATTATTATTGCAATGGTCTGAGTGCATGATTACGGTAATAAGCGACTTTACACGAATTGCAATGGTTTGGATACACATAATATCAGAAGTAGATAATAGGGGATTCCCTATTATCTACTTCTGCTAATATACAGATAGTACGAGGGCATTATTCATAAAGCAGGTGATGATTTGTCACGGTATAGTAGTCAAGAATGCGTGACACTGTAGCCAGATGCAGAGCACTCTTTTTACTATCCTGTTATTTACTAGCGTTTTACTGACATTTACTGTTAATGCCAACCTTTTACTATAATTTATTATTTGCTGAATCGCGTAGGATGGCTTTCATGGCATTTATTAGGGAGTGAATAAATACGCATTAAATGAGAGTGAACGAAAAAATCCACGTTGGTCAATAGAGGTAAATATAACGCTAATCAGAAAATTTAATGTTTATGTTAGATGCTCTAAAGTACAAAGATTTAAATATCCCCATTATAACGGCAGCTCATATTACTGCGTACAATTACAGTTGCATTTAAGGGCCATCTAATAGAAACCCGGAAAATGTGTCCGTTATAAGCGAGTCCGTGCGGTAAATGTTGCAGCTAAAAGACAATAGTTGTGTCTGTTGTTGGGACGAGCTTAGCCACAAGTTCCCTTCTCGCTTAACACTACGTTGGCGAGAGGCCTACGAGGTGTACGACTACGAGTACGAGTACGACTACGACTACGACGACGACTACGACTACGACTACGACTACAACTACGACTACGACTACAACTACGACTACGACTACGATTACGACTACGAGTACGACTACGATTACGACTACGAGTACGACTGCGAGAGCCTACGACGTGTAACAGTCGAAGAGCCTGGTCGGTTTAGGACGAGCTCTGTATTTTACAAGCGCCAATGTATATTTCTGACTTCATGGTACAATAAACGCAATCACGTGCAAACGTAAATGATAGTATACAATATCACCAGTAATAATAGCTATTCGCGGACAGGTGGCGTTGGTCTCTCCCTGCGACCTTCGCGCGCCTGGTGCCACAGTCCCCACATAGAACAAAAAACTGTGAATTATGCCAATGCGATATAATCCTTCCTCTGTCTGCAAGCGTGAATAAAGCACTACTAGCATGTCATCGGAGCGAAGCCGGGGAGGGATGCTACCTAATTATACCGGAATTAGCCTTGTTTCGAGTGACCACTGCTGTCAATAGGAGTGCGAGAAAGAGAGGGCGCATGTACGAGACAGTAAGAAAAACGACGAAGAGGGAAGAATGGAGGAGAGGCAAACAAAAGCAAACGTTAAGCAAAAGCAATTCCACATAGAATGTAGCATACAATACCGATCCTGGTGGCGGGATGCCTGACCAGTACTATATCGAGTATGATTACTAGTCGACTTTATACCCGATGCTACCACCTTCAATATATTATTTGACAATAACGAGGTAAAATTTACACATTAAGTGGATTCATTATAAGTGTATCAAATATATATATATATATATTACTCCTTCACATACAATGACTTCCTGTTTGTTGTTTTAATTGTTCTTATTGTGTTTGAAATTCGTAAATTAAAAATCTTCGTAAACATAATGCCATTTCGCATGATGAATATAAATGGTTCTTGAAAAATCACGCGGGAGTGCGTATAAATAATTCTCTCAAACATGGCGTCCTTCATTTTTTAGTCCAGACAATTTCATTGGCTGTTCCATTTCATGCTTAACATGCGAAATAGAGACATGCGAGTCACAGAGGCTTATGACGTACGCGTACTTTACTTAGACACAACCCCGTGTGTCTGATACACCTGAGTAAAAACGGAATATGTTATTCGCCATATGGATGCTTATTATCTTTCTCGGCTTAGACTGCAAATTAGGCTAATAGTTATAAACATTACAGCGCAATACTGCAGACTAGTTATTGGACACGCAAGCGACTAGTATGCTACGATTCATAAATATGCAAACACGCAATGTCTTTCCTGATAATATAGAGAAAATATTGCACTCTCATGAAAATGCCTTCTAGTAGTTGTTGTCAATTAATTGGTATTGATTCTTATTCGTGCGATTGCAACAATAAAACTGATGTGTTTTTCCATTGTACTATTGTTTCAAAATAAACCAAAAAATGTTTTCTCTTGATGCTACGATTGTAATGCATTTATGCATAATCCCACGATAAAAATTAATATATTAATTCCAAGTATTTTTAACGATTAGCAGTCATTTCTTAGTATTAATCAAACAACACTGCTCTTCTTGTGTCTGAGAGACCCCGCCATGTTTATTTCTCGTGCTGTAGCTTTTCTTCTCTGTTCTCTGTGCGAGCGATATCATGATGAACGCTCAGCTAAACAGGCGTATAGACATGGGTTGTTGAATAATGCTACCAACAAGCGGTTCATACATGTAACGTTGCTGAGAAACCTTTTATCTAACGTAAGATATTTCGAATATTAATACCATATATGGCTTCCTATCATATAAAGTCGCGTTGCAGTCACACATTTATGTAAAAATTCCTAATACGGTCAATCGGCATTTAAAGCTTTAATTAATAAGTAATTCTCCGCGGAAACGATGCAGAGTTACGCGAGTTGTACAGCATATCAGCGCCACCTGTCGGCACAGATAATTAATATACTAGCTATGACTACACGGCACTTATAGCCATGGATAGATGTGATATATATCTGAATCTATGGATCCGCATTGCAGCTATTTCATCCGGTAATGCCTATCACCAACACGTCAACACGATTAGACCCCAACGAGTTTTAATGTCTTTTTCACCAGGTACGAAAAAAACGTCATCTGCTTGGCGTCACGTGACGTATCAGAGAAAGCACGTGATCATCGCCCAGCATCCCGTGACCATCTCATGAATGACGTCATCACACAAGGGAACGATGTGCAAACTACGAATGGTGTAGAGCAAATATTGGAGTGATTGTTATTCCCCCCCCCCCGAATCACCTGAAAATATATCCTAAGATGAAACGGGAACGGAAATTTCCAATTTCCCAGGCAAAAAGTCGTTTCCTGGATCCCGAATACCGGACTGATCTTCCCCTTAGGCGAAGAGAAATATACCGGACCGAGATTCACCAAGCTGGCTACTGAGGAGAATGGCCGTGAGATAGACGTATAATAACACGGAATAAAGATTATTCGATCTTGCTATTGTATTGTCACTTCCACACTTTGTCATACAGCGACAAAGTGTGGATTAGTTCTCCACAAACGAGAGAAAATTAATACATTTAGCTGCGCGCGTTATCTTGTTTTTTATATCTTAAATATAAATTGCGTCGATGATTGCTTTCTGGGTTTATCGAAAGCCGGTATCAATTGGAATCGTAAATTGTCTTTTTCGTCTTACTGCGTTCACAACGTACGGCTCTGTTCGAGTTCATTAGTTTCATGGCTGACATTTGTCTGGCGTTGATTACGCCATCAGCATTTACGATTGAGTAGATAGTTTATGTCTAGTGCTGCAAAAACTCAGACATATGAAAATTTTATTCATTCGATGCCGAGACGCACGCGCATTCCAGGTACGTCACCTTCTGTCATATGAAAGCTCCCCGTGTTTCAAATAGCGATAGCTCCCAACGAAAATAGGTTATCTTCACGAGATGAAGTTTAGTGTGACTGATTGCTAAATTTAATTGTCATTGTCACCGCAACCTTGAGGCGGCACCCGATAGTCGCCCGAAACTCGCGGTCAGTATGTTGGTTGTGCCGTCGCAACGTTCCACAGTTTGAGGAATGTTACTGTTTCTCCGTTTTAATGGTTAAAGAAACTAGTGTGCGTCAAACCATTGAAAGTTTAACAGGAATGTTTTTCCGGGTCGGCATTTAACTGCACCCAGTCGCGAAGTTTCATTAGCGGTCACGGTCACATGCTGATAGGTTTAATCAGTATGTATAGTTTTTGACAGATTTTGCGCACAGCATGAGCCGGGAAGTAGTCAATCTGAGAAACCAATGCTTAGGCGTTTGACTAGCTAATTAGTAACATTCAGATTTAGCAATATGTTGTAATTAGTAGTCGAGACATAGCGAAGTTAATAAGCCGCTAAACCCTTTCGTTTCAAGCTGTTGTAGTTGCGTTTGCTAACATCTAGGCTACATCTACATTACCTCTACCGCGCCTTACATAGTTATACCGTCCAATATCAAATGCATTGCTCAATCCCCGGAAAAAAAGAAATTTGCTACATTTGTTAGACCTGACACCGTTTTCGTGAAAGTATCCATTCGTTGCATGCAAATTGGAAGAAAATCTAGTAAGGCATCAATGCGTACGTATACGCTGAGTTGGGATAGAAAAGGAACGGATGACACATCAATCAACAGACCGTGTATTGCAGCGTATAATGCAACGCCTATGCGATCACTATCCCGGCAATAACTCGTGGGTTTCAACGCAACGTGACCAGCCTATCCGAGTGAGCGGTATATATGCGAGAGCGAGACTGCGTTTACTGCATGATAGATAGGCCGGTTCAAACACGTGAATATTATATACCGAGTGATACTGGTAGTTGATTCGTGATTTATGTTTATATATACATGTGTGTGTGTGTGTGTGTGTGTGTGTGTGTGTGTGTGTGTGTGCGTGCGTGTTTATATATACATGTGTGTGCGTGAGCGACCGCGCGCGCGTGCGTGTGTGTATGTGCTTGCGTGCGTTTGTGTGGGGGTGTGGATGATTTTCATTGGTAGCGGAAAGCAGATTGGTGTGTACTGTGTAATAATAGTGTGCGCGTGGTAGGTGATGTGTAAAAAAGATTTATACACTATCGGTATTGAGAAGATTGTATTGTGGGCATTGATTAGGTGTGTATAGAGTGTAGGTGTAGAAGTATAGTAATATATTACTAGTATGTGCATTGTAGGCTGTGTGTGTATGGTGGGAGGCTTTTTGGTTGTTTAGATGGCTTGGCAACATATCAAAACTTTACCCACGAGAGATGCTATAATGTATTAAAACTACGATATCATGCAGGTTAAACTTTGTATTACGTAACGTGCATAATGCATAATGCACTGCCTATGTGAATATATTATCTTCGTAATACTTTCTCTAACTGTTATTTCGTTATATCCTTATATACCATTTTCATAATATCGCTCGGTAGTCGCGTTATATTTCTTCAGTTTTTCGTAAATAAATAAATAATAACAATTTAAATGGAAATCTCTTCACTTACCAACAGAATAATGAGAATCCCTCGAAGCTCCATCCCGAATTGTTACAGCTCCAATCGCAATATATGTATATATATATGTATATATATATATTCCACCTGCGCCCGGCGCTGATTTGCGATCGAATATCACGACATGTATCACTTGCCAATCTGCAATTTAACAAAACGCGCTCAAAAGTCACGAAACACGTCACGGTAAGACGTCCTCTCCAAGTTCTCCTTCGTGTCGTAATATCACCGCAGCGAGCGTGAGAGACTGTCACACATCGGCGTGAATTGGATACTCCTGCGACACTGGCACCACCGTGCGGTATACGTGCGATATAGTAATGCGACGGAGAGAGAGAGAGAGCGCGAGCGCGGTGCGTAGAGAGACAGGCGCTAGAAACCTTTGCTCGCCAACCATCAATCACGCCCTGCGGAGTCAAGGATGAGTCGGCCAGCGTTGACACCCACGCGCGCGGGGGGGGCAGCGGGGGGAGGGGGAGGGGAGAAGGATGATCCGACGGCACTACAGCGCAACGCGGAAGAGACACGACGCCGACAGCAGCTCGCACCTGTTACGCAGGGCGCCCGCGCACGCACAACACGCCCCCTGTCCGCGCGCGCGTGCGCTCACGCACGAGCACGAACCCACGCACGCACGCGCGTCAACCATGTACGGCGTACGCGCTCATCGAACGAAGATCAATCTAGAGTCATGACTGCCGCTGCTGATGGGCCGCCGTCGGTTAGCACTTAACTCGGCGAGAAGTTAGGAAATATTGCGCGGCAAGAAGATAGGTGGACGTGTGCGAATGCATACAGAGCGAGCACCAAGGTGATTCGTTTCGTGAGGATCCGACATGCAGCAGTAGATGTAGATGCTAGTGAGCAAATGTTGCCGATTGGCTTTAGTCATTTGTAATGTCGATTGCGTTGATGATTGATCGTTAAGATCATGGCTAGATTGAGCATGAATGATAATCTCCTCTGACCTTGATCCGACCTCGCTTACACGCGCATCGCCCGGACATCGCGATTTCGTACCGCGAGGTTGATGGGCCAAAACCATATTAACATTCAACGCGGCTTATTTACCTATATCTCTGCGCAGTTTCCTACTTAACGGAGGAATTTCAACCCAATTCCCCCCTACCGCGCATACAACACTAGACTCGTGTTACGACTGCGCAGAGTCAATCAAATCGTTGTGACGGGGCCGTCTGTAACGGTGCGACAGCTGCAGACGCCGAATCTCTCTCTATACACGTCACACGTCACACGTCGTCGCCTCGTCACATAGATGATCGAATGCCAACGAAATAGAAAGTGGAACGCGGCCGGAGCGAAAGTCCGGTATGATGTCAGTGACCTCGCGACGCTGCTACGCGTGCATTGAGGAAGTGGCACGCAGCGAGTCTCTTTGCATTTCATGGCCGTAGGCGGCTGGGCTGTACCGCAGCATCAATGACGTTGCCGCGCAGCCAATCGAAATCGCCGTCGTCCCACGACGCACGATGGTGAAATTACCGCCAGGGCCGACCGCGCGTGACCGCCCGCCAAATAACATACGTATCTCAGATCTCCGGTCCTTGTTCCCGTCTTGTTGTATAGGGGCCGCCATATACTTTACTACTCTTTCTCTAAAGACCGGTGTGTCCGCGTTTTCCGAAAGCGTCGCGTCGATGGAAACTGCAATTTTACAGTTGTATTTCTTTTCGAGCTTGACTCTCAGAAAGAGTTCGCTCACATACACATGTGCGCGTGCACACACGCCCGCGCGCAGAGAGGCACACACACGCACACACGCGCGCGCACACACACACACACCTAATCAACACATGTGATATTACGATGCCCTTTCACAGCAGCATAGATCTAGAGGGTAGCGACACAGAGTTGGGCACTCGCATCCCATGTGGTGTCTGCCTGTTAGATCCACATATTCAGTAGTAACACCACTGAAACCTGTCTCTGTAAGCTATCTGTCAGCATTCAGAACTATATCATTTATTCAGCAAGGCGTCTCTAGCACCAAGATCCAATGGTTGGGGCTGAACGCGCCGCGAAACACAGGTAGTTAACCTTTCTCACAGTAGGCGGCAGCACAGAATCATGTATCGATTACGTCACAATCTTTGAACGGTCTTGACCCACTCCGCGTTAAAACGCACGCATTTCTGTCCAAAGTAATGCGATGATGTATCTAAACTAAAACATCATAGTCTTTTGAGCCCAAACCAGCATCTAACCCGACGCAGTGTTTTAGTCTATGCAAGTTCTAGATCTAAAAAGCGGGGGAACGGATATTTTTGCAAGATCGCGAGATTGAATCAACTTTAATTGTCTGGGAATTGGAAAATTATGCAAATATATTTTTCGCCGGTTG